AACAAAACATAATTATAAAACAACTAACGAATGAATTATTAAACAAATTGTTATTGTAAATAAACGGATAATGATAGTTTCAAGAACCGACTCACTTTTGTATGTAATAAATTATATATTATATTAAATATTAGCTGTCAGCAATTTTTTGCAAAAACTTTTTTCAATATACATTTACGTATAAGTACATACCTACATTCAATTCATTACAACATACACATTTCAGATTTCATATTTATTTTTACATTAAACACGACGTTGTGTTCAGTATAGTAAATATATTTTTCCATTTTTAACCTTTCAGTAGGTAAAGTGTTTCTACGTTTCAGGCAACGAGGGGATTTTCGTGTTGATGAGGCGACTTGGTGGCGCCGATCGTGCATTGATCATTCGATAACAGTCGTTTTCTTTTACACCGTTGAAATAAAAACTTGTAGCTAGTAGATATTGTAGTGTAAATTATACAGGGTGTTTTTAAGCTGGCTGACCCATAATTATGCATTATACATAAAATCAAAATCTAATTTTTTATAATTTGTATTTAAAAGAAAAAAATAAAGTACTTATAATTAAAAATGTTATACAACAATTATATGTTTATTAAAAATAACAATATCGAAAATAAAATGGGGTGAGCATGTTTGTAAAATCACCCAGTATATAAATGCACACGATTTATTACCGACCTTCGACTTTATAACCACTTATAAACATTGTATGTATAGCCTCATGAAGGGTCGACGTATTTCGACCCGAATTTCTGTAGCGTATACCGCAGGTGGCAGGTTGAGGTGTATTTCAACTACAATTTATTATCCTTGTGTATAAACGAAAACCATTAAAAACGTGTACAATAATAAAAAAAAACCAGACATTATACATATATATATATAATAAGTATAATGTACAATAAAATAAGTCGTATATCGGTTATCTGTAATGGCTATGCCCACTGAATGAACGAATATTAGACAAAATTATAGAATAAGGGACATAAAGTATAATATTATACAAAAAAAATAATAGTTTAGAAATCTTATAAATTATCACATCATGTACTAACTATTCTGTTTCCAAATCGGGTGCAAAAAAACCTTTAGTAGTTCGATATGAGTGCCTAGTTTTCTTAAGTTGAGTGCGTAGTTTTTTTTTTTTTGAGACAGAACTGATCTCAGAGAATTTCAAACTATGTTGAATAAAATATAATATATTCATTAACAATTTGTAAATTTGTAAATCCTGAACAATTGCAGCCAAATTTTTACCAGTTTACTCATTTCCAGCTTATAATATTAGATTTTTAATATTGTTGTAAACGTACTATCCGCAGTCCATATGACGATGCTTTTAAGTGAGAAAAGTGTAGACAATTTTCAAGGAAATCGAAAATGCAATGTTTGTTCGCAAAAATTATAGTAATGTACAATAGAGTGTGTGTGGAATGACGAAAAGGTGCTAATAAGGTGCTGAGATCTTGGTGATTAAAATACATCTGATTGCACTGTGATCAGGGCTGCTTTAAACGTGGTGTCGGCTCCTTTGATATGGCCGCTCACGTGTTAGCAGTGAAGAGTTGTTGTTACCAAATTCTAAAAGGATAATTAGTTTCGGGTTTCTACGATTTCTATAGGTGCGCCCGTCTGCCAATTGGTAATTGGGTTTTTACTATTTGGGATTATAGGTTTTATGTTGTATAAGGTCGACTACTAATCATGAATTCTATATACTTATAGAGCTCGCGTGACCCTCAACAAAAGATTATTATACGTTATGTAAGTCATTTATTAATCATAAGTCATGATATTCTATACATTCGTATGGCTCGCAGGTTGCGACAATAGGTTATACATTGTGAGAGGTCGATGTATTCTATATAGGGTTGTAAATTAGAAATATTTCAAAATTGAAAATTTCACTCTTCTTGAAATATTTCAATAAAATTATGAAAAATATGTTTTTTTCTTTTAAACGTGTTTATAGATGATTAGAAATAATATATTGATAAAACACAGAAAACATTGATTATGAATAACTTATCAGTTAGGTATCATTTATCAACCAAGGTTTACGAATTAAAAACCCTACCAAAGATTTGTTAAACAACTTCTAAATTATATATGTTGTGTTCATAGACATGTAAAACAACTAGATTGTGGATTTGCATATTACATTCACATAAGAACATTGAAGTCTAGTGACCATTTGCCAACAGGGAAATGTTTAAAAAATGACTCAATAGATAAGATTATAAGAATATAATATACCTATACATATTTAATTGACATACACATAATAATATAAATAATATAATATATATTACAAATATATATAATATACTTATATACATATTAATATATTATCATTTATCAATCATGCAATTTTTCCGTTGGCATATGGCTGACTTCAATATTGTCTTGTAGTCGGTTATTTAGTTTTTTTATATGTCTATGTTTATGTATTATTATGTATGTAGTATGTAACTATGTTACATATTTTCTTTATTTCATACAATAAACCAACTTTTAAAAATATTCACATGGAAATAAAAAAAAAATATTTTTCATTAAAATAAATTTCTTGAAATTTTACAACCCTAATTCTATATTATATTCGCAGAGCTCGTACTCACATACAAAATATACACTAGCCATGACTTAAATTATAAATTAAAAACCTGATGCATATTTTTACAACATCGGTACCTAAGTTATCCTCGTAACAAGCACGTGTGCCTAATACTGCCCGGACAACCTGAGCAGATCTGAGGAGAAATATAGATATAATAATTATCATAAATCTATATTTTTGTGTATTATTTAATTATTTGTATCTCATTAAACATAATATTATCATATATAACGAGGGTCACCAAACTGCCACTAGCGTCTTATCCTAGGACACAACAAATTAATTTTATAGACTTAATAATTATATAGGTGGTAATTTAATATAATTTTTCTTTTCAAAATTAAATCATTATTTGACATTATTTGACCTAATTATATTGTTTCACATTCTACAAAATGTATTATACATTTGATATTTTATTATTTTACTAGCTGCCCGTGTGCCTCGATTCCGGGCGTTGTGGAAGCCGCCTCCGGCGCCTTCGAGGTGGTCGAGTGAAAATCGTTTCACCGGAAATTCGAAAAAAAATTGAGTCGTACCGAAAACTGTGACT